CATGGGGGGTCCCACAGTGACATTGGGGGGGTCCCCACAGTGACATGGGGGGTCCCACAGTGACATGGGGGGGGTCCCCAGGGCCATGGGGGGGTCCCCAGGGTCTTGGGGGTCCCACAGTGACATTGGGGGGGGTCCCTATGGGGGTCCCCACAGTGACATGGGGGGTCCCACAGTGACATGGGGGGGGTCCCCAGGGTCATGGGGGTCCTGCTACGTCATGGGGGGGGTCCCCAGTGACATGGGGGGGTCCCACTGGTACGTGGGGGGTCCCACAGTGACATGGGGGGGGGTCCCCAGGGTCATGGGGGGGTCCCATTGTGACATTGGCGGGGGGGGTCCCCAGGACCACGGGGGGGTCCCCAGGGTCATGGGGGGTCCCCACAGTGACATTGGGGGGGTCCCACAGTGACATTGGGGGGGTCCCCAGGCCCATGGGGGGTCCCCAGGGTCATGGGGGGTCCCCACAGTGACATTGGGGGGGTCCCCAGGCCCATGGGGGGTCCCCAGGGTCATGGGGGGTCCCATTGTGACATTGGGGTGGGGTCCCACTGTGACATGGAGGGTCCCAGGGCCACGGGGGGGTCCCCAGGGTCATGGGGGGTCCCATTGTGACATTGGGGGGGTCCCCAGGGCCACGGGGGGGTCCCCAGGGTCATAGGGGGGTCCCCAGGGCCATGGAGGGTCCCATTGTGACATTGGGGTGGGGTCCCACTGTGACATGGGTGGTCCCCAGGGCCCTGGGGGGGGTCCCACTGCAATGGGGGGGGGTCCCATGGCCATGGAGGGTCCCCAGGGCCACGAGGGGGTCCCAGGGCCATGGGGGGGGTCCCCACCGTGACATTGGGGGGTCCCCAGGGCCACGGTGGGGGGTCCCACCGTGACACTGAGCTGTCCCCACCGCGCCCTCAGCACGTCCCCAGGGCCGCGGGGACACCCCCGGTGCCACCCCCAGTGCCACCCATGGGTGCCCCCGGGCGCGGGCGGCGGTCAGTCGAGCGGGGCGGCGGCCGAGGGGCTGGCGGGGCCGGAGCTGCCGGCGGCGGTGCCGCGGGCGCCGCTGTACTGGCCGATGAAGGAGCCGTCCTCGTTGAACTGCACGTCGGCGCTGCCGCCGTAGCCGGCCAGGCTGTCGTCGCTGCCCAGCGCCGCGCCCGCCGCGCCCAGCGAGCGCCCGGAGCTGCCCGACGCCTTCTCCTCGCCGTCGCTGCGGGCGCCAACGAGCCAACCAGTGACCCGACCGATGGCCAAGCGATGACCCAAACAATGACCAACCAATGACCCAACCAATGGCCAACCAATGACCCAATCAATGACCCAACCAATAACCCGACCGATGGCCAACCAATGACCAATGACCCAACCAATGACCCAACCAATGACCCAATCAATGACCCAATCAATGGCCAACCAATGGCCCAACCAATGACCCAACCAACACCAACATCACCCCAAGCTGCCCAACGCCTTCTCCTTGCCGTCGCTGCGGGCGCCAACGAGCCAACCAGTGACCCGACAGATGGCCAACCAGTGACCCGACCGATGGCCAACCAATGACCCAATCAATGACCCAAACAATGACCAACCAATGACCCAACCGATGACCCAACCAATGGCCAACCAATGACCCAACCAATGGCCAACCAGTGGCCAACCAATGACCCGACCAAGGACCCAACCGATAACCCAACCAATGACCCGACCGATGGCCAACCAATGACCCAGCCAATGACCCAACCAATGGCCAATGACCCAACCAATGACCCAACCAATGACCCAACCAGTGAGCAACCAATGGCCAACCAATGACCCAACCAACACCAACATCACCCCAAGCTGCCCGACGCCTTCTCACCATCGCTGCGGGCAGCCAACGACCCAAGCAATGACCCGACCAATGACCCAACCAATAAACCAACTAATGACCAACTAATGACCAATGACCCAATCAATGACCAACCAATGACCAACCAGTGACCAACCAATGGCCAACCAATGGCCAACCAATGACCCAACCAATGACCCATTCTATGACCAACTATTGACTCAACCAACACCCAACCATTGACTCAACCAACACCCAACCACTGACCCACCCCATGACCCATCCAACGACCCAACCATTGACCAACACCCAACCAATGACCCAACCAATGACCCATTCTATGACCAACTATTGACTCAACCAACACCCAACCATTGACTCAACCAACACCCAACCACTGACCCACCCCATGACCCATCCAATGACCAAACCATTGATCAACACCCAACCATTGACCCAACCACTGACCAACACCCAACCACTGACCCAACCACTGACCAACACCCAACCATTGACCCAAGCACTGACCCAACCATTGACCCAACCATTGACCAACACCCAACCATTGACCAACACCCAACCACTGACCCAACCATTGACCCAAGCACTGACCCAACCATTGACCCAACCATTGACCAACACCCAACCATTGACCCAACCAATGACCAGCACCCAACCACGGACCCACCCAACATCCCTCACGAGCTGTGAAGGGTTCCGCGGTGGTGGGAGGGGGGAATGACATGGATGAGGACCCCTCCCCCACCCCCTGAGGACCCCCAGCGCCCCCCTAGGGATCCAACTTCCCCCCCAGGGGTTTGGGGCCCCCCCATGGGTGCCAGGACCCCCCCAGACCCCCCCTTACCTCTCCAGGGAGCTGCGTTAGCCCGGGGCAATTAGCAGCGAGCGATTAATGAGAGAGGGGCAATTAGCATTGGGTGTGGAGGGTGATTAATGAATGAGGGGGGCAGTTAATGAGCGGGTAATTAGTGGGGGAGGGGCAGAACGCATGCAAATCCGCCCATCGTGATAAACCCCGCCCCTCCATGAAACCACGCCCACTCTCCATCTGACCACTCCCTTTTACGTGAAGCCACGCCCATTTTGGGTGGACCACGCCCATTTTGGGTGAACTACACCCATTTTGAACCAGACCACGCCCATTTTGGGTGAACCACACCCATTTTGAACCAGACCATGCCAATTTTGAACCAGACCACGCCCATTTTGGGTGGACCACGCCCATTTAAACCAGACCACGCCCATTTACATGAAGCCACGCCTATTTTGGGTGAACCACGCCCATTTCGGCCAGGACACGCCCATTTTAACCAGACCACACCCATTTTAACCAGACCACGCCCTTTTACATGAAGCCACGCCTATTTTGGGTGAACCACGCCTGTTTCAGCCAGGACACGCCCATTTTGAACCAGACCACGCCCATTTCAGTCAAACCACGCCCGTTCCAGACAGACCACGCCCACTTTAAAAATACCACGCCCATTTTGAACCAGACCACGCCCATTTAGAACCAGACCACGCCCCTTTCTCACCGGTACTCGCCGAAGGTCTCGTCCTTCATGGGCCGCGCCTCCGAGTCCACCTGCGTGTCCTCCTTGTCCTTCACTGGGGGGGCGGCGCTGCGCTCAGGGGGGGCCACCGCACCCCCGGGACCCCCCCCAAATTCCCCCAGACCTTGGGGACCCCTCCCAAATTCCCTCAGACCTTGGGGACCCCCCCCAAAATTCCCTCAGACCTTGGGGA